ATCTTATGCAGTAGAACGCCCTTCTTATCAAAGGAATACACACTGAATGAGAGTTATTCAACCATGTGTACGTATTAACGGCGGGTCTCAGCTGAGATGGTCTGAGCCGGTGATATTAACGAATTTACCCTCTCTGGCCATTTGCGATGAAAGTAGCGATAAAGAGGACAGGTTTTCGACATTGTGTTCTGTGAAAAAGAGGTGATACATAAGTCATTTCCAACATGATTTCATAAAAGATTTTGAACAGTGCCACGTCTGAAAAAATGGGATTAAGCATCACTCACCCAGATATAGCAATATAAACATCCCCCTTTTTTTTATCTGATATGACTCTTGTAATGATACGGTGAGGAGGTTCTTCTTTTCGGTCGTCATAAAAAAGACAACTAATATTGCACATCTTTAGCAATAGATCGTATATATGTGTTCCATTTGAGCTCTGGTTTGAACTTGAGGACATATTGGCGCTCGAGGCAAGCAGACACATTGACAGTAAAACCGTTCTTCATATCTCGAGTAAATTCTGGATCTTCCACGGTGATGAAACATTACTATATTGGTTTGGGTGTTATTTAAACCGGATTACGACTATTGAGCTGAAAGAGCGTTATATTAGCGGATATTAGCTACTTGTCTCTGATCATCTTGTTTTTCATAGGTGAATCCATAAACCGTGGTATCATCTGCATAAAATATTTCCTAAAGATCTAATAAATGTTCCTTGACATCTAAGAGTGTGTAGATCGAAGGGTGGACTCCTGCATGGACATTAGAAGACTGATCATTAAAAACGATCTACACAAGTCTACTTGAAAGCAAGGTCTTGATAATTGCGAACACACTTCCAGAGATGCCGTAGGATATGCGTGGCAACCACTTATGCCAGCCCATTGAAATATCTATGGATTTGAGATATCTAAAGCAATCACTTAGCTGATTAAGTTACTAATTCTGTGTGTAATGATATTTGAAATGCTATTTGGACCCAGAAGAGAGAAATTCATAATGTTTGTCGTTTAGGGGCGTATTTTGATTGGGGTGATCGGGGTCTATGATATTCAAGCTGAAATAATTTGCGAATAGTATGAATTTAAATCTTCTTCCCTTATTTATTAATTCCAAAGATATGTATCGAGGATTATTTCACTCACACTACTTCGTAATCGATAAGTGAACTTTTTCAGAGTATCTTTATACGACCATAGCGTATGACACGAGGAAGGAGGGCTTTGAGAATTTAACACGGAGGGGACATATCGAAGAGAAAAGGAATAAATATACCAAGCTTAACCAGGTACATAACGAGTTTTGTAAATGAATAACACAGAACGGTGGCTTGCGAGGCTTATCGAAGAGACAAACTTATCATGTACTACAAAGTATAGAAACCTTGCATTCATAAAGTAAGCGTGATAATAATAATAATAATAATAATAATAATAATAACAACAATTTATATTACATGAAGAGCAAATAATCTAAGAGAACCAGCAGACCTACTTTGATTTAGAACTGACCAATAACACTGAAGATACTTCTTTGGATTTTTATCAAGAATCTTTATATATACAGCAAGATCACCAGACTATATGCAGCAGCAACATTCAAAGCATAGACTGGCAGATTTATAAATAAGTAAAATAGATTCAGTGGAGAAAAGTTGTCTAGCACGACACAGTGAATAAATTTTCTGAGCAGTAGAACTAGCATTGGATTCAATAACATCTTTAAATTTCATGTCAACCGAGAATGGTAGACCGACAAGGTGTAACGATACACTCTTCGGGAGGTTAGCATCAGTCATGCTGATGAAAGGCAGGAAGTGATCTGTCAGAGGATTAATAGCGAGAAAGTTCATTTTGGTGGCGTTAAGAGTCATCACCCTAGTTAACAATAGTAGAATGTAGGTCATTTTTTTTAGATCATCTATGTAGTGCCATTGGCATGAATCGGATTGAAGCAACAACATAAGATATGACAAATAAAATATGAAGATGTCTGATAATGTTTTCTCTATTAGATATATTTAGCATTTTTTGTCTGGAGTTCGTGGATGAGGATTTTTTATTTACATTATTTACTCGTCTTTGTGATTATCACTAGACATAATTTCGAAGTATAACGTTGACCCAGAGAAATAGAGAATCCAACAAGATTTATATAAATTATAACATGAAGAACCATGCGACAAGGCTCGCTAAATACAGACGCTCCCACAGATGAAAGAACAGAGTAAGAATATCGTTTGGCACCAGCAATTGCCAATATCAGTAATCAGCAGATGAGTGCAACTGCGAAATCAGCGTCAAACAAGGGTCTAACAATTGCCTCAACCATCAGGAGATATTTCCTATATCCTATACTTAGATGTGCTACCTCTGCCTAAGAAAATAATATTAAAGACTCTAAGGTTCTAGTGTATCAATATGGTAATTGTGGATATTTTTGATTTTCAAGACGATAAAACTCAGCTAAAAGATTTAATAGGCTTAAAACAAAGGTATTAATTCCTAGGATTTGAGAAATGTATTAACTCGCAGCTGTGTCCAGGCCAGTATCCGAGCTATCAAATATAAATATACATGTTTGCTAACTCACTCATGTCTTCTCCAACCACCCCCCGCCTCACTTCCTCACTTCGTTAATTTACATATGCTTAATACGGCCCGTCAAAAATGTGTAAATTTTCTTTTCATTTTTTGTTTGGCAGTAAAGTCTGATGATCCGCAGTCCATTTAAAAGGGCTGTGGTGAAATAATTTATAGCATGGAACCTTAAAGTTGTCTGTTTTTATTTAAATTATTTGCTCTGGATTTTATCCTCCTTAGGTTTACCCATACGGATTACCTAGTCTTTCATAAACTAACTAACTATATATATATATATATATATATTAAGAAATGGACAAAGTCCGACAATTTATTTATTAAAGGCATTTTTATGTTTAACGTTCTTTTTTATAGATACAAGTATTTAAGTAAATACTCTGTTTATAATAAACAGTATTAAATAACATTTACCGGCCTGAATGTCCGAGAAATTTTCATAGAAAATATTCGTCCTATGACAGGATTCGAACCTGCATCCTATACGGAACCGTCATTTACGCTGACGTGCCTAACCTAACGTGCGTTCGGTTGGCAAGGTCGAATTTACTGCTTATAAACTTCAATCTTCCATGAATCTCGTACATTCATAACTGCTCTGGCGTATCAAATGTAAACAAATGACGTCATATATTAAGAAATGGACAAAGTGCGACAATTTATTTATTAAAGACATTTTTATGTTTAAAAAAGAACGTTAAACATAAAAGTGTCTTTAATATATATATATATATATATATATATATATATATATATATATATATATATATATATTCTGAATTGTCAAAGCCATAACATCGCTGGAAGCACAATAAATACACGGTAAATGCATTGCGGTAGAGGAAAGTAATTGGGGAATCTCTAAACAGTGCATAAATTGGGCGGACTCTAGTTTGAAGATAGGACTGTCTAAAGGGAATCACGTGATCGATATTAACCATTCAGAAACTGTGAAGAATTACCTGGTCGTAATTAACAAATCTGTAGAATCATAGTTTAGGAGAATATATTTATTCAGGTGTGCGAGTTGTCGTCGGAAGCAGAAATCAGAACAGTCTTCAACCTAAGTCGTCAGAACAAAATGTCCTTTGACAGACTGAATCTTAGCCGTTGCCATGAATAAATACTTAGCCAGACAGAAGTGCAGGGAACCGTCCTTAATCAATGGCCCCATTATTTAAATATTTATATTTAAATTCGCAGAAATAATGGCAGTAAATATTGCCGACCTCAAATCAAAACAACTTTTTATTGTTTATAAGAAGTTGAGTCATTACTTGTCAGAAGTTATTTTAATGCTACCATAATCCAACTAGTAGAGTTAGTTTCGTCTCGTGCAAGAGGTCTGTCAGATTGTCAGATATAACTTTTCCAAGGCTGTAAACAACACAACATGGGATGTGAAATACCAATAGAAGATTACCAAATCGACTATCAGCTGAAAGGAAGAAATGGTGAGTTCACAGCCCAGGAGGGACAGCTACTAACGACCGTTTTTTGGAGAGAAAGGGTATTATAAAAGGGTTCCGTCATAGATCTGTAAACTATTCCAAGCAGTGGTTAATACTAGCAGAGGATCTAGGATTGAAAGTGAGACAAGCACGAGATAAGACCAAGCCGTCCAAAGAAAACATGGTAATTATGATATTCCATCTTAATGTTCAAATTCACGTCATTCATACAAAAACTACTTGATGCTGGAAGTGAAAGCACAATGGAGTAATTGATAGCGGCTTGGTTTGAGACTATTATTGAGTCTATTGACAACAAGGCAAACGGATATTTCGCTAGTCGATGTGACTAAACCATTTTCGCATAACTGAAATCGTTGATGAGTTTGAGGAGTTGGAGAGCTGAGTTCGAATTCCAGTCTAATCCATTACATTCACTTTACGTGCTAATACTCTTGGAATAGGTTATGAATCCTCTTCTTCTCCCACTCTCCTTCCTATGGGTAAATAGCAGGATAGACCGGGTCTTGGATGGCAACTGGTCTAACGCAGTAAAAGCCTTGGATGACAACAAGTCTAACGCGGGAAAAATCTACCTCGTCAATCGTGTATCGAAATATACATGATTGCCTAAGCGTATATGACACGTAACTGACTGGAAGTTAAATTCGTATAATAATTCTTGAAATTATAGATTGATTTGTTTTCTATGAATTATCAAATGTTTATAGGATATTAAAAGCTATAAAATATTTTTAGTTTGTAAGAATTGTTTTGTAGATAATAATTATCTACTTATAACCGGGGTGTGGGAGAGGTGTATTTATACCTATCCCAAAGGCAACTGTGCGTTAGTTAATATAACGAGACCGACTGGAATTGGTACTCAGCATTCTGATTTCCAAATCGTTATCTATTACATTAACCGCACATCCAAGCTTGTAGCATTAGATATTCCCATGTGGCCACCCATTTTAGTACTGGTCAGGGTCTATGTTGCTTAACTTCGGTGATCATATGAGAACCGCTGTTTCACCCTGATATAGCCGTAATCTGATTTTTTACAACCAGTGCTTCTCGCAACAAATGTTAAATGATAACTGCATGAATAATAAGAAACATTTATGAAAAATGTTTTTTTTTTATATTTGTTTAGAATATTTTACATGGTTTTTAATATTATTATAATCATTCATTTTGTTTTTTAATTCCAAGTTGCATTTAATCCCATTATTGTTCCAATTTGGGATGCGCGTTCTTGTCTCGCCTTAAGCTATAAATTATTTCTCATTTCATACAGTTCACTGAAGTGGTTAAAACAGAATAATATTGCGATTAATATTAACAAGAAAGAAGAGAAAAAAACTAATTAAACATACTATTTGTAAACGTTCGAATACTAATAATCATAGGAACATCGTTTGAGAGAGTAAATTAAGGTCGAGGCCGGAGGTGATGAATTGAGACTATTGACAACAAGGCAAACGGATATTTTGCTAGTCGATGTGACTAAACCATTTTCGCATAACTGAAATCGCTGATGAGTTGAGAGCTAAAAAAAGAGGGGGGAGGCTCGCTTGAATTGCTATTTTTTTTTTTTCTATTTTTTCAACATTGATTAACTTAATTTACCATAAATCATTTCTGGCATCTTTCAGAAAAAATTCAAAAAATAATTTTTTCGGTTATTTGCCAATACACACACACACACACACACACACACACACACACACACACACACACACACACACAACACGACACAGGCGTATATCATTGCGCGTGTTTGTGATCAATCATGAGAAGTAAAATTATGATAAAAAAAATCCCATTCACTTCCATCTGCAAACATTAAACCACGTCTTATATAAGATAACATAGAACTTATATATTTATTTCAAACTCCTCCCAGCGGTTCCCATATGATCATCGAAGTTAAGAAACGTTGTACCTGGTCAGTAACTAGATGGCTTGTGAATATCAGGTGCGGTGTGTATGTGCGGGTGGGGCAATGCGTAATGGTTCAGAAATGTCCATGAGCCGTGTTCCAATTCCCACTGGGTTTGTCATATTCACTTACGTACAAACACATTTGGGAAAGGTATGAATTCACATCTTTTCTCATCTATCTATGGGTTTATTAGTAGGAATTATATCACTAATCAATAGAAAAATGTCGTGGTTTGGACACGTTACACAACCATCATACAAGACACCGTTGAAGGTGGATGTAGAAGAGGAAACCAAGGCAAATACTAATGGACAAGTTGGGCAATATCAGAATTGTTGATAGCTGACATTGATAGACCGTTGTGTAGGCTTTAGAAATGGACTACATTGAAGGAGATTAGATGCTGAATTGATATGTATTGTAATTTTCTTTTTATAGCACCTAATATTTTTTATCACATTTCTTACTGTGAATCTCTTGCTCAAAATTCCTATTTTCTATTTGCTTTGGTAATTATTCCACGGTTTTCAGTCGATACCAAATGACTTTCCCTATGCAATTTGATTGGGAAGTTGTTTCAGTCAGAATATGATAAAGATATACAACAAATATTCTATTATATGTCCTAAAAATTACTGCTACTAATATACACTGTTCATGCCAGAATATCAAACATATCTGCAAATTCATTTATCAAATGAATTTATATATTAAAACAAAAACTCACTCAAAACCTAATGCTTTTTTAATGTATGATTTTGTAGTGTCAGTTTAAGCCAGTCATGGATCTGGATGGCATTGTTTATTTCATAAGAAAAATAGCGATTCCTATTATCTTTCTTTCTCACTTGTTCACACACATACTCTCTCATACATATTTACGTACATAAACATTAATTAAGTACAATGTTTCTTAGATTTTGTAAACTTTCGGTAAAAGTAACGTTTACAGCATTTTAAACCATTGGAGATTTAAACGAAATAATACCTGTTAACATATTTTGACTTTGAAACAGGAAACATATATAATATTTTTTTGTAAAGACATATTTGTTTTTTTTTTTATTTTCAAATGAATAAATTAGAAATTTATTACTCGCAGCGACATGTGTTTATTACACGGTCTTTACTGATAATATTATACCAAGATATCAATTTTTTACTTACACAAACATCGGTGCTACTATAGTAAATTATCTACCAAGGCATTCGCGACCTACCGATGCACTTAGAAAGCCAGCCACTTACTGCCTACAGCAATAAATTCCTCAAACTGCATACAGTGTTATTTTTACCTAAAGTGTGGTGTATTTATCTAATTGGTATTCAGAAGCGAGGTATTATGCAATTATATTACAAAATGTGAAAAATTTTAGATTTAGTGTATCATTTTCATCAGCTCTATCAATTATCGATTTAAAAAAATATTGACTTTTTTACGCTAGGAACTTACCTTTTTCATTATACAATGTATGTGCTAAGGTTGGTCACAAACGGTAGGCTGGATCTCGAGTAAACATGTATCACACAGACAGACTGACAGACACTCAGGGACACACACATTCTCTGTTATATATATATATATATATATATATATATATATATATATGGAGAGAGAGAGATAGATAGATAGATAGATAGATAGATAGATATGTGGAAATACAACAGGGTTAAGTTTAATTGAGACCAAAAGTTTATGGAGAAAACTGAGGTCATATTTCTTCCAGATACTGAAAACATTTCATTTAATGTTCATATTTTCTTGAATGTCTATTAAAGTTGGAAAGCTTCGAAAATATTATAATGAAATGTTCACTTTGCAAAATAATAAAGATATACATGATTATAATTTAGATAACTATAAGAAAATGCGTTAGTTTAAACAGACGCCAGAAGATTAGGGTTTTAATAAGGAATGGAAGATTGAAGACGAAAAGAAACAAAAATAAATAAAATGAAATTAGGCATAGAAGAACTAGAAAATAATTGTACAGAAAAAGGAAGCAAGTGTTATAACCTCAGGAAATAAAAAAAATGCCGTTCCTGCTTTTGCCGGTTAAGTAAATATAGTTTCGTCAGTAAGCTTCCGTCAGTATCAGTTTTTCTAGATCTCTTTTTCTCAAGTTCTTTACTCTTTTTTCCTCTTATCATCTCAGCTTATTTCTTCTGTCATACTTTTCATCTTCTACCATTCTCACCTATGCGTTACTCTCTTTCTATCTTTCTCCTCGGTTTCTTTCTCATAATTGCTGGAATCGCAAACACTTTATCTGATTCTTCTTTTTCGTTGATGGGCATTTAAACGACCAGATGCCACAGATCCAGCCACAGGCATTGATATTCTCGGCACACGTCTAGAGTAACACAAAGGTAAGCCGAATGCTATTTACCAATAATAGTTTGATGTATATGAGGAGTAGCGTTTGCCAAGTTCACAACTGCTGTTAGCATAAGAAACATTATCTAATTCAGCTAGAAACAGTTGGAAAGTGTCGATTCTTTCAGAAAAAAATGTAGTAAAGAATATATAACAATAACCATATATGCATGAAAACGAGGATATTGGCATGCATACACATAATCTCGTGCACACACACACACACACAGATAGAAACGCACTTACACACACGCATACAGATATTTCATGGAATATATCTGTTTGATGCTTTCGCACACATCATTCGTGATATTTTTAGCCGAGCTTCATTAAGGGTGTAAAATCTTTCAACATTATACACCATCTCGACTGTAGCCCACGCGATACTGATCGTCTATCGACTTGTGTGCCATCCGTCCGCTACAACTTTCCTCATTTTTAATAACACACAGCGACTCCTCTTGGCAATTTATAGAGCAATCATGGATAACTTCCGGTTCGCCAGCAATCTACGCTTTTCCACGAAAACGGAAGCAAACCCAGTAACGGTTGCTATCTCGCTATATATATGACACAACAAGGACATATTGAGGAATTATTTCGAGTTTTTGCAGTATTCTTAAATTTTTCAGTTTGGTAGCGGTAAGAGAGTGTAAATCTTAAGGGATTAGTAACAATTAACACCAACCCCCCTTGCAAATGACTTAAGAAATGGTTCAAAGCGCTTGGGACTACAGACAAGTTTTACATTCCTCTAATCCGACCAACGGGATAGATTTATGAATACTAAAAAAAATCAATAAAAACGAAATATATTTGAAAGAATGTTTGCTTTATATATATATATATATATATATATATATATATATATATATATATATATATATATAACGGATGTAACAAAAAATTGTCCACTTGTTAGATTAAGATTTGAAACGTTGTAGAAATGATTAATGATATCTTACTGGAATTCACCAAGGGATTCAACAGCATTATGGAACTCTACTGAGAAGAATACTAATATATTTAGTTCTAAGCTAATATAATAATCCATCTTGATCATGATCTAAATTTCCTCTCTACAGTTCCCTCATTTTAAGCTTATTCACCGTTGTCTTGATTGTTCTCGAATGGCCTTTGATGGTGCAAGCCAGGTCTTGAATGTTGTTACAATTATTGAAAACCTGACTGATGTTTTTCGTTTCTAATTTGCTCAGTTGGGAAGACAGTGTGGCTGACACAAAACGATTTTGACCTGTTCTCTTTCTAGCTGAAAACCTCAAAGAGTTTCCTCTTGATTCTTACGAGAGATTATTGTCATATCTGAATGTCTTATCTGAAAACTCTTATCAGATAAAAGATTACAGTTATCTGTTTGGATTGGTATTGCTTTTATGTCCATCTTTTTCATGTTGAATTGTATATAATCTATGTTAATTATGTTTTATGAATATGTGCTGAAGATGGCCTATTAGACCGAAACGTCCGACGTTGACATTAAACATTAAAACAGCAAAATCGCATATTAGGATTTTTGTTATATATATATATATATATATATATATATATATATATATAAATCCGAATGTTTAAAATTTTTTATTATGCGTCATAAAGCAAGTTTCCTTTTATTATTTCCAACAGAATCCATGCTAAAGTGAAAAAAAGTATTTTTATTCATGTTCCGTCTTCTTTACTGTGCTATATGCAATAAGGATGTGACTGA